GGATATACAATACGGCGTCAAGTGTAGCTGTTTGGCTAGGGGAAGACAGCGGGGAGGCGTCCAATGCGTTCCGGCTAGCACGCGAAAGGTATAATGCATGCCAAAATGCACCCCCTCTTCTCTCATCAGAGGGTTTAGCGGGAGCTGCCGTGGAGGGACAAAGCGGTTCTTTGAGATGGTGGTTTGCTAATACATTGTTCTAGTACGTACTAGATGACTCGGACCTACTGCCCCAAACCTCCATCTACTCCTGAAGAGCTCCCGGAGCTCCCGCTCCCTCGGTTCCCTATACTCTTTCAAAAGCTGATACGAATTTCCCATAGTCATGAACTATCGAATGTTCGACGATATGATCCATGACGACAAGATGGAGGAGGCTTGGAGGGATCTCGCAAACATTATGCAGGCCGACGGTACGTGACCAAATACACCCCGGTTCTTTTTCTCAGAGGGTTTAGCGGGAGCTCCGGGAGCTCCCGTAAAGGGAGAAAGCAGTTCTTTCAGAGCGTGGCTTGCTAACACATCGTTCTAGTACGTACTAGATCCCCTACTGGGCCAGGCCTTCTTCTGCTCCCGGAGTGCTCCCGGAGCTCCCCTTCCTTTGGTTTATTCCCTAAATTCTTTCAAAAGCTGACATGAATTCGCTATAGTGGTTCAGCAGGAGATGGATAATCCAGGAGATTGCCCTCTCGCGCAACGCAACGATCCACTGCGGCGAACACAGCCTGCATTGGGACGACTTTGCAGATGCCGTGTCTCTGCTCGTCGAAAAGATCGAGCTGATGAGAGTGGGGTTTCGGGATGAAGTGTTTGACGACATTGAAACCAGCAGCGCCTCCATTTTGATTCAAACATTGGGCAATATCTGCCGCAAATCAGACGAAAAGCACGATCGGGGTGCCATCGACAGTCGCCTGTTGGACATCGAGACTCTCGTCTCAACCCTGCTAGGGTTTCAGGCGAGCTTTCCTCGAGACACCATCTTCTCGATTCTCTCCCTCGCCAAGGACTTTCCAAAGTCAAAGGAGGGTTGGGAAGTCCTTCATGCCGAGCAAATCGAAAAAGTCAAGAATGTTAAGCTGAAGCGCATCAAGAGGGAATGGCAAAGGCACGAGACGAGGAAGGCGAGACTGGTGAAAGAGCTCCAGACCGAGGCCGACTTCCACGCACGAATCGAGTCAGAACTTCGAGTCCTTGAGCAACAGAAGATACAACTCATTGAAGCCGAGGAGAAGGGAGAGGAGGAAGAAGTGCAACGTCTCCGTTCCGAGATCGAGACCTTGGACGAGGAGACCCTGCGCATGTTTCACCGCGACTACAAGGAACTCGAAGAATCGAGAGACCGATGCGAGCTCCAGGTCCGGCAACTCGTCCTCAAGTACCGACGAACCGAGGACGAGGTCATAACCAACCCCGTTACTTTGCTTCCCAACTACAGGTTCAGTCCGAGGGATCTCTTCATCGCCTTCGTCACGCGCTCGATATTCCAGACGAAGTCGCTCGACATCATTTGTCGTCACTGGGCCCCGGATCTGACACGGGTCGAGGATGGGGCTGGGCAAATGCCCTCGTGGATCTCGAGTCGGTCACGGGCGGCCTTTGGTCTTCCCGGGACCGCGCGGGGGAGGCAAAACGGGGACAACCTTGTCGGCTACCTCCCCCACGACATAAGGCGAAGGTATTTTTGTTCGGGGTCCACCGAAGCAAATATCGAAATGCTTCTCGACCCTCGGCTTCTGGATGGCGATGTCGCCACCGGTCCCGGGCCAGTGGAAGGTGCAGGACCGCCACCTGTGGAGACGCATGTCGACCAGGAAGCCATCCAGAGCATACCTCCGTTGGCATTGGATGAAAGGGCGGTTCCATTCGAAGGGGTGGCTCCGGTCGCGGGGGTAGCTCCGGTCGAGGGAGCGGCTCCAGTTGAGGGGACAACCCCAGTCGGCATGGCGGCCCAAGTAACTGCATCTGAGCGCGGCTCGATCAAAACGACAGGACCAAGATTTTCCTCCCTACGGAGGTTGGGAAGGTTCCTGCCGAGATTCGGATCGCAACTTGAAAAGCAAAGCGAAGAGCACCGAGTTCAAACCCAACAGTCCAGCTTGCGCGGTGGCCAGTCGAGTAACGTCAGCGACACGGTCCCACCCATCAACACTCGAGACTCGACCCCAGAAGGAGCAGAGCAAGAACCCGACAGTACTGGAGACTCAGTCCCACAAGAAACAGAGCAAGACGCGGGGAGAAGTGGCGATGCGCCATTGGCCCCGGCAGCGAGGCATGGACCGGGAACCACCAGCACAAAGCAGCTCGTGGCATCAAGCTTCCCATCGGCCTCGACATGGGCACCGGGGCCCCATCAGCTGAGCGGTATCCTCGTCGTCAGAGGCTTTACTCTCGGTAGAATCAAGTCACAGTCGGATGTGATGCGGGGCGGTGTCATTCCCGGAGAATGGGTGTCGAAGTTGGGCTGGGAAAATGACGAAAACAACCACGTCCCCGACGTCTTATGGAGACTGCTCGTCGCCGACCGTATGCCAAACGGTGCTCGGCCACCTCTCTGGTACAAGCGAGCCTGCCTACACGGTCTGGTAGACCGGAAGGTGTCTGATAATGCCGGAAACATCCATCCCGTCACACCGGTGGACAGGTCGATCTCGGAAATGACAAGTAAATACTTCAGGAGGGTCGAAGCCGTGGTGTGGAGCAGACGCCTGTTTGACCTGACGCCAAATGATGAAGCAGATGCCGGAGGTGTCGGGACGACGACGACAGCCTCCTCGAAGGCGCCGACAGCATCTTCGGAGACGCCGACGCCGACGCTGTACGGGCTCGGTCCCGGCGGGAGCAGTGTCGGCGACCTTGTCTGCATCTTATATGGTTGTTCTGTTCCAGTAGTTTTGAAAGTAGCGGAACGAAAGCGGGTGGAGAATCTGTTTGAGGTGGTGGGTGAAGCGTACGTTGATGGGGTCACGGACGGAGAATTTATGAAAGAGAAGTGGACGAGTACGGCAAGGGATTTTCGGCTATGTTGAGATAGCCTGTCGTTAGATTTACAGTTCGACGAGAATAATCTAATGTACCTAGTTTCTGATTCGACGCCCTGCTTACTCTTTCCTACGGCATACCTTCTCTTGGACTGAGTAACTGAATCTCAACGGGATTACCCAATAGCTAACGGCCCGGAGACACCCTCACAACCAGAGGGCGGGGTGAGCCCCCCCTCCCCCTTCCCTTCCAGGCCGGTCCCGCAATCGGCCGTCCATGACCAGGCTTCCCAGGCCCCCACCCCTCTTCCACCCAACCAACCCTTCTCATACTGCGGGGTTCGTCCTTCTCCGTCTTGCTCCCCTCTCTCCCGACCTTAAAGCCGACGCTTTGTCTCAAACTCGCCATGGCGACGGACAACACCGCTGCCCCCGCCGCCGCCGCCTTTAACAACCTTCAAAAGAAATGCAAGCAACTCTTCCAGCAAAGCAAAGACGCCGAGGCCATGGGGGCCTGGAAGCAGGGCTGCGCGGCTTGCCGCGGCACGCTCACCGACAAGGACTGGTTCATGCACCAGCGGGACTTTATCCGTGACCTCAAGAGCAGCAACCTCGACGACGCCGCCACCGCGGTCCACGCCTACCTCTACGCGAACCTTCCCCCGATCGAAGACCTCTACAAGCGCTCCGCCGCCTCGCTGGCGCAGAGCAGCAGCTCGGAAAAGACGTCGGAGGTGAGCGTGCACGAGCTCGAGCACGACCTGCTCAACCGATCGAACCGAGCCGAGACGTTTGGCCCGCAGCCGCGACGGCCGACGATGACGCACGGCGGGGATGCGCCCGCGAAGGAGACGGTTTCGGCGCCGGTGGTGCCGCGGGTTGCCAAGGGGAGGGTCGATGATAAGGTGTCTGACAAGGACAACCGTGTCGACGATGCTGCCGCTGCGAGGCCGCCGGCGGCGCAGGAGAGATCAAAGACGATGCCGGTGCAGAAGCAGAGTCGCATCGAGGAGTGGACTGGCACGCTTAAAAAAAGGTTTATCGGATAATGGTCGGGACAGAGTTGGAGGAACATGGCGGTCGTGTTTGTTTTGTGAAAGGGCGGGTGGTTAAGTCTCGTTTGTCGGAATACTGCGTTTTGGAGTTTGGTTCTCTACTAAAGGGGGTTCGAGTATTACTGGGACTTACGGGGTTCTGGCGTCTTTGCGGCTTACGTAGCTTGTCTTTTCACTCCAATACCCAATTGTTTAACCAATGCTTCGAATACACTCCAGCCCTAGTTTGTTTGTTAGCGCGAGACATCCGGGATGCTAACTCTGTTTGAAAAGGGCCTTGGAGATGGAACTGGATACCTAAAGAAGTTGAGGTGCACATCCACGTCTGACGTCATCGTAAACATCCCCCCTAAAGACCAACACTGGACATTGCCTCCTTCGACACAGGCTGTGTCTGTGTCTACTATATCTAAAGCCGGTATACGCGCTTCCGGCACGATACATTGACGTTGCCTTCCCCTTCCCCTTCTTCCACGCTGACAGCCCTTGGAAACGGGCGTACTTCGTGTACTGACTTGCTTGTATGCTCTCAGTGCTGACGAGGCACATATCATCGAGTGACTTCAACTCCTAGATCTGGCATCCGATGCAAAGCGTCTTGTCGGATCGAGTGAAAGGCCCAGGTTAGGTTTGAACCACGGCATTTCACCAAAGTATCGGTCTTTTCGCGGCGAGTCCTCCGCCTACAATGAAACTACGATCCATAACGGAGGCGGGACTCGGGAGGCAGGACAAGGGATAGGCAACAGCTGGGATGTGTCGGATGAAGTTCGAATAGCCCCCCTTGACCAGGGAGGAATATGCAAAAAGAAATCACCAAAAAAACAAGCCCGGCTGTCTATCAACCCAACGATGATGGTATGCCCACTATCAGAATTGAACTGATGACCTTGTCATATCTTTACGAGTGACACGCTCTACCCCTGAGCTAAGAGGGCGAAGGGATGAAGACGACAGCTTGATGTGCCCACTATCAGAATCGAACTGATGACCTTGTCATTGATCCATGGAGATACTAGTGACACGCTCTACCACTGAGCCAAGCGGGCTTGCTTGATGGTGTGGTTCCGCTGTGAAAGAATTTTCCATCACACGGCGTCGCTCAGTCGTCCAGACTCCATTGCCAAAGGCCAAGTGCCCACCTGAGATCCACCCCCGGGATCTGCCGTCCGCACCGGGGCAGGTAATGTCCACAATCCAGCTCCCCCTCTCCAGACTTTTGTCAACACTGGTGCCTGGGCGGCAACGGATCGAGATGCATCGGGTCTCAGGAGGATCCCGTGAAGACTCTGGTCCAGGTTCGTGCGCAGCGTGGACGCGTCGGGTGAGTGGTCAGGCGCACCCATGCTGTCGTCCACCGTGGGCAGTCACACCGCAATACGGTGTACAAATTCCCTGGTGTCGTGAATGTTGTCGCCCCAAACGGACGCCAAGTGATAGGCAGCTTTCCCTCGTAAAAACCCACGAATCCTGATACGGGGCGCCAGGGGCGCGATCGTGAGGGGGAAAACGGCCGAGATAACATGCACACATGGTAAGGTTGAACCCAACCCATTGCGGCTCTGCTTCGCCACTTGGGGAAACAAAACAACGGGAAGGAAGGGGCCAAGGCGAAGGAATCAAGCCCTCTCGGCTATCGCAGCTCGTAAAAAGATGCCGCCGGGGAATCCATGGCCAACGCGCGAGCGGTTCCGGGAGCCGGGGTGCCTAGGGCTGTGCCCCACTGCCGCCTGAGAACTCTTTACGAGTCCCCGGTTTGTGGAAAATGGATGCATCACAAGAAATTGCATCCAAAATGTGAGGGTGTGTGTCCAGAAGGGGTGGATGTAGTAAGTTGTGTTTGAATAACATCATTCTCTTCTGTTGATGTCCGTTGGAGACATGAGGTCCAGCAGGACAGGCTTGGGTGGTTTCGCAGTGGGCAGGAGGGTGGCTCTCGTCGGCGACGTCACCGAGCTGTGATAAAGGTAGATGGAAAATAAAACCAGCACAGCACCCCATGTGGCCTGTCCGACATGCACGTTAGAGATAAAGAGCTCGTGCCGGGAGGGAGTGGCTCACCGGGAGGGTCAGGGGGGTCCTGAATATGATGGCCGTCGCCGCATAGCTGACAGCTATGGAGAAGCTGGAAGCAAAGGTCTTTTGGACGTTTCCAGCAGTCGCGATGCAAACAGCCACAACGAGGCCTCCAAAGGCCTGCAGGGCAATCGTAGCCCAAACGACCGAGTTGTACCCCGCGAAAAACCCATCCCGAGCCACCGCAGCGCCGTCTTTTGCGATGACGCCGATGAAGAGCGCAGGGAAGAGCTGCGCACTGGTTAGCACACGACTGGGTCCCAGGCGACGTCTCGCATACGCTGAAGAAGGATAGCTGGACATTACGAGTCCAGAGCGACACCGAGTCAAGCGACTCCTTGACGAGCTTCTCGAAATAGACGCAAGTGAGGCCGGAGATGAGAGAGGCGGCCATCACGGCCATCAGCCCCTTGCCGGCCCCCGATGTCGGACCCTCCGGTTGCGACACGTCACCTTGGATGAGCGACGTGAGACGGTCCCTCCAGTCGTCCGAACCAAGAGGCCCTGCGACCTGCACCACTGCGACACCGACAGTGAGCAAAACAAGGGCCAGCCATTGCCGTGGCGTGATTTTTGTTCCCAGCAGCAGGATGCTGAACAGGACGGTAGTGAGGATCTTGAGTTGGTAGGTGACCTGAAAGGTGACGGCATCGAGATGGCTGATGGCTGTATAGACGAGTGAGTTCTGCAAAACGTACATGGCGGCGGGCTAGGGTGGAGTGTCAACAATCGTTACCTCTTCAAGGGTCGGAGAACTTACTACCACGAGCTTCCAGCTGTCGGGGGCGCAACAGGATCGGCGGAGGTGGAGGAGAACATCGAGCCACGGGCTATAGGGGTGCGACTTTCGCATGTCGCGCAAGGAAAGGGCTAAACTGCAGAAGAATTTGAGTGCTTCGACAACGAGGACGGCGGTCGAGGCGAGGTATCGCGGCTCCGAGTCGGTCGGGGCGTTGCGCGAGTGGTGCATGACCATGATCTCCCATACGTTAGTATAGGTACCTCAAGTACAACGAGGATCCAGGAGGAAGGGGTACATACCAGGGCCGAGTTCTGCACGACCAGCTGCCCGCGTCCATCCTGTTAGTTCAGAGGCCCCTTGGGACGCGTGCTGCGGGCTACGGGATCGCGCAGTGGGAAGTCGTTGGGTTTGAGAAGTACCTACCAAAATCAGGGCCCAGTTCCCCGCGTCGGCCCGCTGGGAATCGCCTTGGCGCAGTCGATCGCCAAGCATGGTCACTGGTGCGATGCTGTAGCGGGGGGTTCGTAGGGCTGTAGGTTGTTGGGGACGGTCGACGGTCAGGAAAGCACCCGCGACGCTCCCAGGCAGGGCGACGACGACATTGTTGAAGGGGGTTGTCCAGAATCCGTCGGAGGATTGGTGGGATGGAAATTGGAATGGCGCGGCCAAACGGGCTTCCATTCACGCGCGCCGCGCCCAGTGCCAAGAAAGAGAAACGGTTGGTGCAAGGGGTGATCGCCCGGGGTGGGTGCGAAGTGACAGGAATGCACACTGTACCGAGCCTGGACTCCAACCGAAGCTGTATCCCGAATTACGGATCTCTCTCATTCCATCATGCCGACAGCGAGCATGCCGCCTCAGTCAGCCCTGGATCCTTAATATTGCGACAGGAATTCCGCGACATCGCCGGCCCCGACTCCCACTGTTCGAATTCTCTTCTCTCTCCGGCGGCAACAGCAACACGTTCGAAAACACGCCCCCATGCTCCCGAGATGCTAAAGCTGGCCGCGACACCGTCGCAGCTCCTGGCGCTGGTGCCGCGACGGGCATGGCGCTGGATGCTGCGCGGAGCCGTTGCCGCTGTCGTCGTCCCGTTGCTTTTGCTGTGGGTTTTGGCCTACATTGTGGGATCTGATGCAAGAATCTTGCCTCCCCAGCTGCTGGCCGCCAAAAACCTTCTCATCGTCACGGCCCACCCCGACGACGAATGTCTGTTTTTTTCGCCCAGCATCCTCGGGATCCTGGACAGGAACAAGGCGGTGACTGGTGGACTGCTGGTCATGTCTACAGGTATGGACTTTCTTCCCAAGTTTCGGCATCTCTCTGCCGATTTTGGTGTGTCGCTGACGACATCCAGGGAACAATTACGGCATTGGAGATGTGAGGAAATCGGAGCTCGCGGGATCCTGCCATGCGCTGGGGATTGACGAGAAGCGGTGCGTTGTTCTCGACGACCCCGAACTCCCCGACTCTCCCACCCTCTGGTGGAATACCGACCTGATTGCCGGCTTCGTGCACGACCACGTGCGCAAATGGGAGGTTGACGCTGTTCGTTGCTCTTTTTCCTTCCTCTCTCCCCCCGTTGGCCTCGTTGCCGTTGACCCGGGCCGAGCAAGACCACTGTGCTCAGTGCGCTGACGAGCTGCTTTGGAAAACCAGATTATTACATTCGACGAAGGCGGAGTTTCCGGGCACATCAATCACCGAGCGGTCAGTGCCGCTGTCAGGTAAGAAACACCACCAGAGTCCAGATGCCTCCTTCGGTTACGCAACCCCGCAGAGGGCTGCCGGGTTCCATTGGCTGCCGCCAGCCGTTGTCGTGTTGGACTTCAGCTTCTGCTGCTTCTCGAGCTGCGCGCTGACTCCGTTCTCCCCATGCGACAGACAGTACGCCTCCACCCACGCCGAGGCACCCGTCACTTTTACACTCACCACCACGGCCCTCCCGCGCAAGTATACGCTGCTCGGCGACTTGCCGTATACGGCGCTGCCGTTCCTCTGGCGAATCATCGAGGCCCTCACCTTTCCCACAAACACCGCCCGTCCCGAGGATGGTGATCGGGCCCTCGCCGTCAATTCGTGGCACCGGTATGGGCTCACCCGCGCCGCTTTTGCGCAGCACCCCAGCCAGTATACCTGGGACCGGCACCTGTACATGATTGTCAGTCGGTACGTGTGGTTCAACGACCTCAAGCGGGTGCCCCGGGTGCAGGCGGGCCAGACTCGAGCGTAGTATAGTGGTTATATAGTTCGAAAGCGGTTTCCCCATCGCATTCCCCTATCCCCGTGAGCATCACCACACCATAACCTTGCAATTTCTGTATTTCTGTCCAGGCGACCCTCTCGGCCGGGCGTGCTGCAAAGATCCGACGAACCCGGTCGCGCCAAGCCACGGGAGATGGCTGACCGGAAATGGTGATTCGCTGGTTGCGTGCCATCGGGAAGCTCAAGCTTCTGCGGGCTGAAAGCAAGCTTTTTTCGTGGACCCGTCTAGGCCTTGGGCGACCAACGCCCGTCGCCCTTGCACGCAACGGTCCAGGGGGATCTGACATTGGCACAGGAGAAGGGTCCGGAGAAGGGGGCAGGGGTGTTGGTCAACGTGCATCGTGGGGATGCTGGACAGGGAAACAAATTCACCACTGAGGTGACGACAGCGACCACACTTGACCGTACCGTGTACGGATTACTCTGTATTTCTGTAGCTGCAGGGCCTGCGCCGGTCGCAAAGTAAGATGACCGATGACCAGCGCAGGGCCGGCTCGTGCCAGGAACGCAGGCCAGGGAGGCGAAGGGATCAGATTGGTGACACACAGTACGAGGAATTGGATTTACGCGGTACCGATTTGAGCCAGTCACCTAAGCATTTTTGCATTTGCATTTGCTCCCGCCCCCTGTCATCCCAGATCCGTCGTTCACAGCAAGACTCAAGTGAGAGTGACACCGGGCACCCGGCACCCCCTCTGTACGCGCCAGTGACATGGCTGGGGGGGTGGGGATGGAAAGCCCGGGCGTGTCTGACGAGACGAGGGTGCCGTCTTTCGAGGGAGCAAACGGGACGTCGCTCCTCCCTCGTTGGCGTGACAAAGTTGAAAGCGGCTGTTCACCTTTTATCAGGGCACTCCCCCCATCTGCAGCCCACCCCGGCCAAGCTCGACGACGTCAACTCCGGATTCCCATCTTGGACTCGTGCTCATTCACTTACCCCATCTCTTTCGTACCTCGACATAACTC